GCAATTTCACTGAACAGAAGACACTTATAAAACATACTGGGGTCTGGGAAGTAATGAGCGACGAAGAGATTTTATTATTGCAAATGTGCAATGTCTTGAGCTAAAACGTAGGAGAGTTGATAAAGATAGTGCATCTGCTCGAAGAGTGTCAAAAGTATATTATTTGGAAAATGCAAGAGGTCGTTTCAGAACTTGTGCTAATTTTTTTTGGAAAACACTTTGTATTTCAAATGGCCCTATTGAAACTGCTATCAAGAGTAAAGATTCCGCTGGGCCAGAAGAGGCAGAAAAACACCCGGCAATAAGACGTCGGCATGGAGTGCCACTCCTTGAACCCGGCCATAGATAATGCAAAAAAAAATGAATTGGCGTTTATTATAAATGACTGGATTGACTTTTTTTAAGCGAAGTCTTTCAAGCAGAAATACCTACAGACAAAAAAAAACGAACAAATGCTGAACCAGATGAGCCGTATCAGATACAGGAATTAAAATATGAGAATTTTAAGGATCTGCAAGCCTTCGCTAAGAAACTAATGCAAAAATCGAAATCTCGATGAAAATGGTGACATCGTATCGTTGCTGAAAATGAAATGTCTGAAATTTCTGTCCTTGGACTTGAACCAGCTTATAGTCAACTGCTTCCAATTAGAAAACAGAAGAAAGAGGACATTTTAAAGCTGTGCCGCAAAAGTTTAATACCGGAAGAGGTGCATCTCTGGTATGAATATCTACCGCTAACTGTAAGAGTGGACCGTTTGCCGGAACCTGATGTAGAAGAACTAACTACTATTGTTTCAGTAGTCAACTTAGAAGTAAAAATGAATAAGTACATTTTTTTCAAAATTTTCCTCAAAAGACAATACCACTTAGTGGGTGGCTTAACTAGTTGGAAAGGGTAGCATAATGAAGTATTATCGAAAAAACATCAGGAATATCAGACGCAAGTTAAAATAGATTAGTGAAATTTATTAATCGTATTTTATTAACTATCGATTATTTCAAAAGTCAGTTATTCTACTTAGTGAGTTACTTTCAAAGTGACGATATAATAGAAATGTCTTTAAATGGAATTTCTAGAATTCTAGAAGATTTAGAATTTGATGTTGAATCTAAATCTGTAATGAAATGTAGGATGTTTCATTTCAAATAACAAAGTTCGAGCCGACTACGAGGATAACCAGAAGTGTTTGGAACATCAAACTATTTTATCTGAATTGTATTCAATATCATTCCTATAACACTAAATTTTCCATATTTTTCCTACCTTTTCTTAACTTGCGATATCCTTCGACGCATTCCTCGGAGAGTCATTCTGTATTGATGTTTACGTAGTAATTCATGGAGAATTAGAAGTTGCTTTTCTACCCTCTAATATCAGCCACTGACCGTCTAACTATATTTGACAGAATCCCGACATGAAGTAATCCAAGAAAAATGAAACAGTTAAGCTTTGAAGTGCTCACATACTTCAAAAACTGCATGTTTCATTTTCAACCAATACAAGCAATCACTAAAATGAAGAGTTGATTTTAGGAAGTAGGGAGTTGGAATTTGATTCTATCGTTTCTTAGGAACAGTATAAAAAACTGACAATGACACAACACCCACTTCTCCGTTTTTACATATACCAATTCATCAAATAAAAAATTAGTATCAAAAGAATAGCATTATTCAAGATCATCATTGAAAATCTAATATTTTCATTCAATTCTCAAAGTCAATCTGATCAACAAGTTCTACAAATAAGTAGGGGTAAAACCAATGGCACAATAAATATATTTTTCTTGACCCACTCAGAATGTACGGTAATATTTCCTTAAAAAATTGCTCCATCAAATTCCAACGCCTCATTTGGAAAAACTGGAAGCATCTATAGTGGTCCTCAATCTTCAGAAATAACTACCTAATTTCTCTATCCTCACAAAGTGTTATATTGTCTCCTTTACGGTAAAACAAACTGTCATAGAAAATATTCTGAACAGACCTTTAATTGACTAAAAGAGTACACAGAAGAGGCAAGTCCCCCTCCCTTAAAAAACAATTTCCGAATTTCACTTTGATTCTTCATCAACTCTTTTTAGTGAATTAAATGATCAGCAAAAATGATAAAAATAGTAAAGGACAAATTAAAACTAGAGGTCCTGAAAATAATAAGTGCATACTCAATTTGAAAAATAGCAAACTTTTTAACAAAACAACAAAAAAATAAAAGATTTTTTCACTTTGAAAAACGAGTTGAATTTTCTTATTGAAATTCGACATTCTAATAGCATAGTGTGATTTTGGGGGAAATTGTTCTTGAAGTGCAACTAACCAGATAATTAGGTTTTTTGATTTAATTTTTTGTCAACCATAGAATGGCCAGTTTAATGATGAAATATGGAAAATTAAAATATAGAACAAAAATACTAAAATTCATTATGGGTTTAGATGTGTACCGTTTAATTTTTTATATTTTTTTAGTTTGATACTATGTGATAATTGAAAGTTAGGTGGTAAAATGTAAAATTTTGTCTGTCGATCTTATGCAATGTTACCGATATATGTAATTACATGAAATTCGAAGAAAGACAAAATATTCTGTGTAATTTCAACTTTTCAATTTCCTGGTTAGGTCTATTTTTGATGAACCTAGTTACCCATTCATAGACTTGTTCCATTTTGAGTAACTGGGTTATGTGCTATTGATTTACATAGAAAAAATAATCATAAATAGATTCTGGATCAATCGGCAATTTCTTTTTTTCAATTTTTGATGAACATAGAAATCACTTTTTCTTGTTCTGTTTATGCACCAAACATTGAAAATGAAATCAAAACAGATATCATTCACATTCTATTTCAATTTTCTTCCTGTTTGCATCATACATAATCTTCTGCGTATGATCTATACATATCTTTGTGCAAAGTTTTAAATATTATTATTTTTGTATTCCTTTCTTTACAAGTTCCTCACTCGTAATATATTAACGAAGAAGTAAACAACCAAAATTTTTTCAAATTGTGTGTATGTGTGTGAAAAATAATATACAGTGTGTCCCAGTAATGGTGTTACAAGAGGTGTAATAGTTATAAAATTTTCTGAACAGACTTTATTGAAACTATGAAATACAAATTAATTCACTGAATTTATTTCATAGAAAAATCCAAATGGACTATACCACCTCAAAGGTGCGAATTCGTTGTTTCCTGTTATAAAAGAGGGCATACACCTCTCCCTCACAGGCGATTTGGTTAATTGGTGACACATGTGAATCATTGTATTCGTACCACGTGCGACTGTAAAAGGGTGTCTGCAGTATGCCCACCGTGATTCGAAAATGTATTATAGATTATAACGACATTTACATTATACTGACTGCTGCATAATTACTCATATCTAATCCTTCTGAAGGAAAGTCGATATCAACATTTAGTTTGCCTCTAATGCTTCCCCTGGGAGAGATTTTTTTAAAATTAAGTACTAAAATACAGAAAAACTTATGGATTGACAGGTATTTTGTACATTTTCTCCATTTATTGCACCTCAAACAAGTCGGTTTTTCAACTCCATCCAGAGTTTCCTCTAGTGAAGGTATGTATTCTACAATCTTAGAGTTGTATATTCTGAAATATTTCAAGCAGGACTCTTGTGCTTCTCTGCTGTTCGCTGTCTGTTAAGATCGGTTTAGGTTTCTCAATAGTTCTATTGACATGTAAAATATATTGAAGGAACTCCTGGGCGTCTTGATGGGCATAACCCATGAATTGAGGGGCGAATCTTTGAATCCGATTTTTTTAGGAGACTGTGTTTATTTACTACTCTATCAGATGAATCTTCTAACCACAATTCCTTGATAATTTCTGTGAAAGCTTTGATTAAAGCACCCTCCATACTAGAAATACTATATAAGTATTGATATCTTCCACATATTCAACCTTTTTTGAATATTCCAGTAATCATCTCGTGTTTGATAAACATTGAATTACACTGTTCATGAAACAGGTGTTGCTGATATTTTTCAACCCATTAAGACCACGGGTTTTGACTGAAGAATGTATCACTAATCTGATGCTGTTGTAGCTGTCTTTTTCTGAGTAATCACATCATTGGATCAGTGGGATAAGGAATTTGAAGTTAACCTGCTTGAAACTGAATTGGATACAAATATGGCAGACCTTGTGAGTTTTCAAGAAGATGATAATTCCAGAACTTGTTCATATTTCTCTGCATCTTCTGATGGAGACTTATGGGGAATATTACAAAGAAAATATCGGGTTTTATGAGGAATACATTTCTTAATATGACTGAAGTATGCACATGATTTGGAAACGTAATTTAATTTCAAGGAAATATTCAGTTTTTGAAATAAAAGTCGACCGTGACGATGAAAAGAAAGTTATTTTTTCTTTAGGCAGTGTACCTTTTTGGTTCATGATAAGTCAAAATGTTTCTGGAAAAAGTTGTTTAGGATGAGAAATTATGACTCTGTTTTTTTATTTATTCAAAACATAATAAATTATATTTACTCACGAATTCATCGCAGATAAAGAAAATGTTATATGGAGCCATAACTTCTCCAATTTTTCTATGTAATATTTTAACATGTCTTGAACATCATCTGAAAATAATTTTCACTTAACGATCAAGGCTGATTCGTTTTTCAAAAAACTGAAATGTTATCAAAATTCATTTCTCACCAAGCCAACCTCTATCCCACAATTTTGAAATAAAATTCAATAATTTTAGTACATCACACTTCCCGTAACATCAATCCTGGAACGCCCTGTATAATTCAATAAAAAAAAACATATGCTATTCCTGTGTTTCCCCTGAAAGCACACACAAACTGAGAGATGTCGCATTTGTGCAGATCATCTTTGATTTTGAAGAATTCATAACAAGATATTTCAATAACTTGCAATATTATTTTTAGAACAAATCGTGAAAAGTTATAAGCTTATAAGAAAACAAAAGTAACAAAGAGTTCTGTAGCTTCGTCTACGGAAAAATCAGTCTTGTCGATAAAAAAAGCTGTTTATTTTCAGGTAGCACGAGAAATTTGACTAGCAGTAATGACATATTGTCTTCCTCTAATCTCGAAGCCGAATATGTCACCACATCTGCCCAGTTCGGACAAATATAACGACACTACTTGGACCTGTTTCAAAGCAAAACTTAACAGAAACGATATCACAAAATACCTAGAATTCGGATAATCACAAAAGTTAAAACAATAAATATAATATGGACGTCTAAAACAAATGCTCAATAATTTCAGAGCTCATGACAGAGCCGGAATTTAAGCGAAATGGTTACCGGAGATGATGTGAGCTGCACCAAGTCTAGACCACTGATAATCCTTCAGGTGGGCTTTGAACAGCAATATGAGCCCAACCAATATGATCGGCAATCCCAGGAGTGAACATATCAGTTCGCCGGTTATTGTTGGAGACCACACCAAGGATACTGACGGGGAACATATTTTGATATTTATATCATAAAAAAAAGGGTATAGTCGAAGTAAACGATATTGTGCACATTTAAAGTTACCGGCACTCTCAAAGGCAAAAAAAACCAGTACATAGAAATGAACCGGCTGCGAACTAGTCCACGTGGACTGTAGAATTGGCGGTTCGTATTGGATTATTTTTACTAACCGAGTTTTATGATTGGCTGAGGAGTCATAAAATTAAATTTGAAGTCATGTTACGGTGACGAATAGCAATCGGGGAATTAAGGAACTGATCGCGATTTGAGTGTTGAAATTCGATATTGGTGCAGTTATAATTACTTAAAATTTTTGTTATCTGTTTAAAATGTGGCATCCTTGGACAAGTAGAAATAATAATAACGAGGGTGATAACAACGCAAACTTTTTCCAGTGTAGTGATTCCAATAGCGATGGTAAACAATGCGAAAAAGAGATACCAGTGAATAAAATTCGGATGCATTAAAATATTGAAACACAAAGAGTAACTTTCAATGTATATAAGAATCTACATCTCAAGTTTGGTTTCGAAGTAAACAAACTATTACAAGCAACATCAGATTTGACCGGAATTCCTTTCTCAACTGTACGTAAAATAGTCAAAAACAAACCTTAGAAACGCAAGGCGCGATGTGATACAGGATTATCAAATCTTTTAGATGTTCATCAAATAAAACTATTGAAAAAACAATATACGACTGTTACAAAAGCAATGGGATTCCTACAACTGAAATCATAAGGAAGAAATTGAATACTTCCGGCCATAACGTGAGCTGCTGTGACAAAACTCTTCAGAATTGGATAAAGAAACTAGGATTTAGATTTAAAATAATAAACAAACGTCAAACAGTTATGGAAAGCAGAAAAATAGTGGAATTGCGTAACAAATACTCAGAACAAATAACTAAATATAGACAAGAACAATGGCAAATTTACTATTTGGACGAAACTTGGTATGACACACACGACACAGTTACGAAAGGTTTGGCTGATGGTTCGAGAATGTGTACGCCTAACATGCCTGCAAACAAAGGATCGCGACTAATCATTGTGCATTGCGGAGGAAGTAAAAGATGGGTTCCGAATTCTTTGAAATTATGTGGAAAAAACTCGAGGACGGCAATGATCACTATCATAAGAAAAGAGAAGCTAATATTTTCGAGGAATGGTTTTAATGAATAAAAGTTTGTATTTTGAATATTACTATACCAAAAACCAACTACTTGAAGTTTTACAGACAAAAACATCTGAAAAAGTGTATGCCCTTGAGAGTATTGCTGGAAAGTATGGACACACCATACTGAGACTTCCCCCCCATTTTTGTGTTTTCAATCCCATCGAGTTGATTTGGGAAAAATTGAAATAAAGCATCAAGCGTAAAAATAACTTTCCAAAATTTGATAAGAAGGTAATAGTGCTAATTAAAGAAGAAGTATCTAATATTACCAAAGACTAGCAAAAAAGATCAAAAAAGTAATTTTAGTTGAAAAAGGCTATATGGAGATTGGACACTTCCATATTAATGGTGGAAATAAATTCATTACTGATTTAAATGAATGAAAAGTATGGACACACCATACTGAGACTTCCCCCCTATTTTTGTGTTTTCAATCCCATCGAGTTGATTTGGGAAAAATTGAAATAAAGCATCAAGCGTAAAATAACTTTCCAAAATTTGATAAGAAGGTAATAGTGCTAATTAAAGAAGAAGTATCTAATATTACCAAAGACTAGCAGAAAAGATTAAAAAAGTAATTTTAGTTATTGTGATTCTTATATAATTAGATATGATTATTGAATAACGAAATTGGTTAGTTCCCTAACTATATTATTAAGTGGAAGCTGTTGGAAAGTAGGTTGCACTATATCGTTTACTTGAACTATACATGATCTAATAAATATTCAACCTACATATGGTCGAAATCAGGCAAAATGTACTCCAATAAAATCGATTTGGAGTTTTCCGTTTGTAAATAAATAAATAAACATTTGTTTAGTTGATATGATATTTGACACTCTGAAACATGAAAATTTTTGGAAATTATATACAGTCTGGTCATCGAAAACATATTGCAAAGTAAGTTCGAAAAGGTTAATCCAAGAACACTTATAAAACCTTCAACCATCCAAGTGTGGATGTCTTCCTCATTTTGTAATGGGAATAGTGGTTGTGTAATAGCTCATTGCGAAGGTTTTTTTCTTTTTTTAATGTTAACGATAAAATATAAAAATCTTACAGAAAACATAATGAAATAACATCACAGAAACTTATGCGAACATATTCACAATTATAAACTATACTCTAGGTATTCCTCAGTGTTATAGGATTCAACTTTCATGGGCAAACTTTCAATTAACTCTTTGAATTCATTGAGACTGCAAATACATTAATTGGAAATTATATTGTAGGTATTTCTCATTGTTATAGGGTTCAATTTTCAAGAGTGAATTTTTAATTTTTTTTTGAATTTATTGAAAGTACAAAGTGCATATTTGAAATTGGAAATTACTTAATAGATTTTCCTCAATCTTGAAGGTTCAATATTCATCTCCTTGAAACATTTTTTTCTCAAGCATACATGCACTTTTTATAATAACAAGATTTCTTTTTTCTTGAGACAATAAACATATATCTCATCATCTGATACGACAAGTTTTCAAGTAGAATCCCATTCAATTTTTTGAAAAACATATTTCCGGCTTTTCAAAACTCCATACCTTCTGAACGAGTTGATATTGTCAACCTTTTCAATAAGATATCACCCAATTTTTTTTCCATTGAAAAAAGTCAGGGGATGACATGCCTCTTTAAAGGGTTGAGGGATTTGCAATGGTTTTTGGATCGAAACTTGTTTCCCTCTCCTAAAGGGATGCCAATGACAGGTTCTGGTCCGATGAAGCTGCTTGCAGCACCCTCCTCTGCAAGGAAGTCGAGGAGAGTCGTTTTTGGCAATTTGCTACCAATTTA